TTTTTAGAACTGCATTTCTAGGCATTTGTGAAAATCTTCTGAAAACTAGCTGTATCATCAGAATGTAAGAATGGAGTCATCTAGGAATTGTTCTTCTTTAATGAGTATAACAAGATAAAATGTGAGCAATCTACAAATTGCTTTCTCTATTAAAGTGTTTTTTCTTTGTCACAATATTTTGATATCTTGACAAATATTTTAAGAATAATACTTGTATGGTGTTTTGCTTTTACAAAGTATTTTATATATACTATTCATTTAATTACAAATAGACCCTTAAACTTTCACTACATTCCCCAAATTTTTATTTTAGAGAAAAAATTATAACCACGATTCCTAGAAGTCATTGTTCCTTTCAGAAACTATTTACATGAACATCTATCTACTCTGTGTTCACCTATCTTTGGCCATAGTGAACATGAATCCTTACCCTCATGGATGTCCAACTTTAGTGAGAGTTGTTGATATACTAGAAATATCAATCATAGGTAACATCTATGAAGCAAAAAGAAAATAAACACAGTAGAGATAGAAAAGACTGGAAAATATAAGTCTACCTTAAGTTATATTTGAACAAAGGTTGGTCTACGTGTATGAACCAAGTAAATACCTTGAGTAAAGATTACTCTGGTCAAAGTTTATGTGCATTAACATATTTGGAGTATTCAAGTAGTATTTCTCAGGGAAAAAGACTAGGAGACTGTGGTAGATTGTGGAGGGAGACAACGGGAAGGTAATGAACAGCTTGTAGGCCATAGCTTAGAGGTGGATTTTCTTCTGTGTGCAGTGAAACATCACTGAAGGGCTCTCAGCAGGCATGATGCGATCTGATTTATGTATGCACAAGTTCACTCCAGCTGCTGTATGGAAAATTGACTAGGAAAGGCAAAACTTCAAGCTCAGAGAAACTTAGAAGCATGGCAAAATCATCTAGGAAGAAAATGATGATGGTTTACACTGGAATGCAAGGAGAGATATAATGAAAAATTAGTTTAGCCCAGCTATAGTTTGAAGGTTTACCTGATAGATGGAATGTGAGTATAGATGGAATGTGGAGTGCAAGGGAAAGAGAAGAGTCAAGGCTGACTCTGAAGTCTTCAGCTTCATTGAATAGGAAATTGACAGTGCCATTTATGGAGATGAGAGGGACTCTGAAATTATCATGTTTGAAAATGTATACTTGGAGCAAATCAAGGAGTCCAATTTGGGATTATTTTGAAAGACTAGACAAATGATACGATTCAGAAATTTACTGGTTATACTTGACAGTTTCAGATTTCAGCTGAGTGCCTTGAAAATGGATATAAGTTCATTTATCACATGATTTTCTAATAATCTGTTCATTTGTACTACCAATTCAGACAGAAGCAATGTCCAGTATTTAGAATTTAGGCTGAATAACCTAAATGAATTCCCTAAACGGCCATGGGAACACACTGACTTCTCTCCAGTGATTTCTCAAGGTCAGTTAATAACTTAGTAACTTTTATTATCAGTGGGAAGTGACTTCTCCACTTGGAAGTTGGCCCAGCCTCAGGACTGAGTTTAACAGCTGTTCAAGATGCTCTGTGGGCCTGAAACTATTCCTGTGAGCAGGCTGGACTTTATCTAGCCCATGTCCTTGATCCAAAACAACACAACTTTTTGTTTTAAAATACTTCCAGAAAAGCAAATTGAAACAAAGTATTGTGAAAAATATTTTTACCCAAAACATTGAAAAAATTTCTGAGTTATAATTCAATTTAAATAAAACAATTTCAGGATTAAAATATGTCCATTTGTTTTCCAATTTTGTTTCACAATGATTTAATCTCACTTATAAAGTAGTCCTATTGTACATGTTATTGTCTGAATCAATGTATCTGATACTGCAATATCTTTACTTGTTTTGTAGTAGAGTCAAATATGATACAGTCTTTTTTCATCTAATTTCTAAATGACTATGAAGTAAAACTCATAGAAGCAGAACACAAAGTGGTGATTGCTAGAGGTTGAGGAGAATTGTTACTCACTTTGGATATACTCACTTTGGTCATGACATATGAGTACCTTCTAGAGATCTACTGTACAACATTGGGCCTATCATTAATAATACCAATGTATACACTTAAAATTTTTTAGAATGTAAATGTCATGTTAAGAATTTTTACCGCAACAAAAAACAATGATGATGGCCTCATTTTTAGCCCATATGCCCAGGTGCATAATTATTGTAATGTTAGCTATCTCAGATGATTTTTTAGAAAAAGCTCTTTCTAATTGCTGTTCAGTTTTCTCTTCCTTCAAATTTCTTCATGAACCTCTATAAATTCGTTTAGATTCTTGGAGCCAATATTCCTGCCACACTGGCATTTACCATATTCTTGCTTCTTTTTAAGACCTTGGTTTTTAATTTGGGCATTGATTGTCTATAAGTCATCATTTGGTAAACTATTTTTGTGTTTGAAACTCAATTACTGTGATAGCTTTTTAATTGATTATAATGGAATGAATTCAACAACTAACTTAACAGACATAAAAACATATAGGAGATATACAGACAAGGAAAAATAGGATGGGAATTAGCCTGATCCATAACTATTTGGTGACTGAATAGAACTATTGAATCATTATAAATGTTGGGGTCTGCCTAATGTTTTCTTATCTAGAAGTGCTGCAGTATAGAGGAAAAGCTCCAGCCAGTGGTTCAAACCATTTAACATGTGGTGAATGTTTACATGTAAACATGTTTCAGAAACAGCTACCTCTTAAGAAAATTCCAGCCAATACACTCAGCTCTGTATCAGAAACATGAGAGTAAGCTTAAAATAACGTCTGTTTTTTTTACAAACTCACAGCATTATTTTTTGTCTCTAACAATTCATGAGACAAAGCTTTCATCTATCATCAAGTTTTGCATCTAAATAAACCTGACCTTCCTTATACACATTCTTACTTTCTAACTGGATACTCTATTTTTATTCAACAATATTTATTGAGAATAGCCAAGCAATGGATACAACTTTTATCATTAGCACTGATGCTTAGCAGAGACTTTAATACAACAAGCATGTAACAGCCTATGGCTGGTTAATGATCTAAACATATTGACTATAGAGTATTAGGCCTGGATGTTAAAATGTAGATAAGGTGATATAAAACTGGATATTTTATAAGTTAAGGTAGAAAAACTCAGGAAGATTTGATGACATTTACAAGATCTCTGTAGCCAATTTCTGGCCCAAGCCAGACTTAAATCCCAGAGCTCTTCCTATTCAGGGTTATGTTCTTTTCATCACTCCAACAATCTGAGATCGCTCTGTCAAGTTATTCTTCTGAATATGGCAATTATATAGTTATTCTATCAGATTTCAGTCTGAATAACACAAATAGAACTTTGCTACTTCAATGGGACTATAGATAAAATTCCAATCCAAGAATATTGTACATGACAGGAAAACATCTGTATTTTGAAAAGCAAAAGCTTTTATTTCCATCTGTCACAATACGACCCTACTTCCCCTGTCTATAGATGAAAGCAAGGTAGTTTTTCTCCCTGCAATGTCAGTATCTGAGCCCAGAGCCTGTCTACTCTGATAAACTGCTAGCAAGTCAATATCTCACCTTTTATTCCCTCCTCATATGCGATTCTGAGAAACATTCATTTGTGGAATTACTAGGTATTTCTTATCATATTTATCTTTCATGCCCTGGAAGCAAAAGGGGCAGAAAAAACTTCATTAATATTTTTCACATATATGGGGTCCAAATTATATTTGAGGGAATTTTTAGTTTTTGCGCTTTCTCATTTTCAGCTTGGCTTAAGAAGGTCAGGATTGGCTAAATGAACTCCAAGATATGAAAACAAGAGGGCTTTTTTGTATTTTTGTATTTGTTTTTAATGTACTGTGTGAAGTTACTTTTTTCTTTTGTTTCCCCCCCACATTTTTGGTATATCCCCTGTCATCATTGTTTTTAGTTTTGGTACCCTGTGTCTTGAATCTATGTTTATTTGATTTGGGAAAGGGAAGGGGAATAACAACTTGGTGAGACAAAGGAGAAAGGGTGAACCAATGAAACAGCACTTACAAGACTCTATGTTGGAAATGAACTTTACAAACTGGGGGCGGGGAGGGGGCGGGTGAGGGGAGTCAGATGAAGGGAAAGTGGGAGAAAATGTTCAATAAGAAATGTACTTATTACCTTACTTATGTAACTATAACCCCTCTGTACATCACCCTTACAGTAAAATAAAAAAATTAAAAAAACCCACATGTAACAAAAGTAAAAAGAAAATAAAAAGAATGTCAAGATTGGGATTGAATTATCTAATCAACTAATGGCCTGAAGTAAACCCTAACCTATCTGTACTTCAATTTCCATTGATGAAACATTTATAATATCAAACCACAGACCACACTACAAATAGACCTACTTAACCAAACTATTGATTCCTTAGGGACATTGATCAGTCTCCTACGTTTTCCTTACCTTACACATAATAGGTTCAAAATAAATAGCTTTGAATGAATCATTAGTCAGCAATCAGTCACCCAGCTGACCAGTACTTGTGATATATAAACACTCTCAATCCAATCATTTAACCTTTAGAATAAATGGTTTGACCTTGAAATTTGACACTGTCAAACAGTGTAGGAGCATGCTCTAAGGAAATGTATTTTGTAAACCTGAGGAAACTAAAGGCATCCATTTAGTATGCCTAATTTGTTCTCCTTTGCACAACAGAATGCTATTTTATTTTCATGCTATAAATTTTTAGTAATTGCTCGTAATTCTTCTACAATACTATTTTGGAACCCTAAATCTAGCTATCTTAGAAAAGGAAACAGGAGTATAAGGGGAAGAGGATATGTTGTTGTTATTGTTGCTGTTGTGTTTTGCTTTGTAATTTGCTTTATATTGAAGTACTGGAGTTTGAACTCAGAGACTTACACAGGCACTTTACAATTTGAGCCACAACCCAGCCCTAAAGATGTGATTTTTTTAAGTCATCTATTTGTAGCACTTGTGTATGTCTTTAATTTGTAATAAAGCCTTACAGACATGTACAAACAGTAAATGCTCTTTTGCAACCCAGAACTTACTGTTGAGTAAGAGTTTTTGATACATATAAGCAGTAATATGATTCCTACAATAGTTGGCAACTTGTACAGGTTGGCTCTGAGAATAAAGTTGATATAAAAGCTAAAAAAAAATCTCACAATATATTCAAGAAATTTGGAAAGAAATTTGGATACTGACATCTAATTTTTTAATAAATTTTAATATATATTTTTATTATAAAGATACTGTACAGAGTGGTTACAGTTACATGAGTAAGGTAATGAGTACATTTCCTATGGAGCATTGTTACCCCCTACCATCCCTTTCCTTCCCCCTCCCCATACCCCCCCCACCCCACAAAGTTGTAAGTTTGTTTTCAACATAGTGTCTTGTACATCTCATTGTTATAATGGGTGAAATTGTATCCTTATTTCAGCATTTTGTTATTTCCCTTCCCCTCCCCAAATTAGAAAAATGTATACACAAGATGTAGGGGACAACTAAATTTTGTAAAGATACATTCAGTATGCATATGGGAGAAGGTGTCAACATCTCCACACATTAATGAACTGACTTGTCTGATTTAAATATTAACCATAATTTATAAGTAAATCAATGGTTATATGAGTATAGATTTGCCAAATCTTCCTTCAAGTAGTCTTTTAGAAAGTCATGTATTATCAAAAAATCAAGGTTCTTGATATTGAACATTCTTATTTTTGTTCAATGAATTTTAAAATTTAACAACTCTATTGCAATGGGCAGTTTACAGTAAATTATTGCATATTAAATGTTTGAACTTTCATCATTTTAATACAGAATCTTCTTAAATACATGTATTTTTCTTTCTTGAACTCCATGCTACAAAAACGAATGACACTATTTTCTAGAACAGTATTTGGTGCCTATAGAATATTTCTTAAGTGACTAAATGGAGAATAACCTTCCATGTAACTGTATTTAAAATGATATAATACTATTTATAGTCTTTCCATGTAATAAGAAACATTATCATTTTCTTTATTCTCATATTTTCTAGAGCTATTGATTTCTTTTTTATCCTTTTTTTTTGTATTTAATCTAAATCTTTCTAAATTCCAAAGATTCACTTTACCCTCTCTTCCATCTACTTTTGTAATTTCAAGCAATGATGTGAAAATAATGGTGCTTATGTCTTTGTAATGACAGAAATTCCTTTGTCTTTTCTTCAGACCCATTTTAATCTTCAGTGACTCATATTTAAGAAATGAACTATGCAGCTGTGGTGGAACTAAATCCTTGGCAACAATTGGAGGGGCAAACAAGTAGTGCCTCACAATGGATGGGCCTCAGCTTTGAATTATTTACTGTTCATTTTAACAATGGAACTGCATTCTCAAAGAGTGTCTTCAATTTTTTCACTTTGATAAGTCCTTTAAGGTCCATTTCTTATTGTACAGACCCTGTTCCAACAATTATCTCCACTTTCTTCTGTTCAGGTCTTTATCATGTCTTTCCCTGCTTACATGACCAACCATCTTAGTTTTCCAGGGACTGTCCAGTTTCCCTGGGACTATCCTGGTATTAACATTGAAAGTTTCCCAGGAGTGTTGGTCCCATATTTAGTCCTAGTAGTTGGGAGGCTGAAGCAGGAAGATTGCCACTTCAAGGCTAGCTTTGACTACATAACAAGAACTTGCTCAAGAGAAACAACAACAAAAATTGGAAAGTTTCACACTTTGAAAAACTCAGTGCTGGGGAAATTAAGATGGTTAGTTACCCTTTGCTAGTTTCCATTTTTCAGTCAAGATCCAAATCATTCTTATCGTCAAAAAAAAAAACATCCTTTCTCTTTGTGTTTTGATCCTCTCGGTCTTCCTGTCCTGCCTTTTTCTTTCTCTTCTCAGAAAAAAACAACAACAAAAGCAAACAAAGATTGATTAAATAATTTTCACTGGAAGTGGCTAGTCACTCTTCCCCGACTCTTTCGTGAATTAGTCTTTCTGACACTACTGCTATTCACTGAAATTGCTGTCCTCCACTCTGATGAGCACTCTGCAGTGCCAGTCTGTATATCTTGGTTGGATGCTCTTGGTCACCTTCTCCCTCTTGAAATTCTGCCTCTCTCTTCTATGGTCTGTACTCTTCATTTCCCTCAAGCTCTTTCCTATCCATTCCTTTAAGGTCTCTTGTGAAATCCTGTTTTACTTTCTGCTCAGTAAATGTTGATAAGTAGGCAGTCAATGTATATTAGCTAAATGAGAGAATGACTCCTAAATCTCCTTTTCTTCTCCCCAAACATTATTATATTATTTCCTTGTGGAAAGAATGTTACCTCTCCCAGATGAGTATATCACAACCCGTTACTCTGTTCCTTACACAGACCTTCCCTGCTATTTAGTGTTGGGTTTTCTAAAATATATTTTATTGTTATTATATACAGGTGATATACAGAGGGGTTACAGTTACCTAAGTCAGGAAATGAGTATATTTCTTTTTGGACAATGTCACCCCTTCCCTCACTCTGTCCCAGTTTTTCCTCCCCATCCTCACCCACAAGTTGTACAATTAATTTTCAACATAGTGTCTAGTGAGTACCACTACTGTATTTATTCATCCTTTGTCACACCTTTTTGGTGCCCCCTTACCTTCCCAAAGACAAATTAACAAACAAGACTAAAGGAAAAGAAGAAAATAACAGCAACAAGAACAAGAAAAATCTCTTGTTTCTATTTCTTGGAGTTCATTTCAATAAATATTATTTTACACAAACATATACACATAGCCTTTGACCCTTTGTGATCCACTCCTTTGGTCTCACTGTGTGAATATCTAGAAACCTGTATAGTTTATCGTGTTCCCGTGTTTGTTAGTTTTATCATCCAGTGTGTTTACTTGTAGATTGGTAGGCACATTCTAGTTTCCACAAGTGAAAGAAACCCTGCAACCCACATTTCCTTCTGGCTTACTTAGCTTAACATAATTTCCCCACATTTTTCCTTTTTCTTATGAATAGTACAATATCATTCTTTCTGACGGAATTCCATTATGTATGAATACCACATTTTCTTGATCCGTTAGTCCACTGAGGGGCACCTGGGTTAATTCCATATCTTGGCTATAAACAGTGCTGCAGTGAACATTGTTGTGCTGTTAGCTTTAGTGTGACCTTATTTGTGTACTAATGGATAAATGTCCAGGAGTGTTATTGCTGGCTCATAGGGAAGCTCTCTGTTTAGTTTTTTGAGAAACTTCCATACTGCTTTCCAGAGAGTAGAACAAGTTCTCATTCCCAACAGTATAGTAGAATTCCCTTTGGCCATATCCCCACCAGAATTTGTTATTGTTACCTTTCTTCATAATGGACATTCTAACTGGGGTGAGATGGAATCACAATATTGTTTTGATTTGCATTTATTTTATGACCAGAGATGTTGAACATTATTTTTGAAATCTGGGCCTGGTGTTGTCCCTGAGCTCTTCAGCTCAAAGCAAGTGCTCTACCACCTGAGCCTCAGTGCCACTGCCAGTTTTCTGGTGGTTGATTGGAGGTAAGAGTCTGATGGACTTTCCTGCCCTGGTTGGCTTTGAACTGGGATCCTCAGATCTCAGCCTCCTGAGTAACTAGGATTACAGGAGTGATCCACCAGTGCCCAGCTGATGTTGAACATTTTTTCATGTGTCTATTGACCATTCTTACTTCTTCTGATAAGTCTCTCTTTAAGTCTTTAGCCCATTTATTAATTAGGTTAATTCTTTGAGCGTTTATTTTAGGGGAATTTAATATTTTGAGTTCTAAGTATATTTAAGATAGGTGGCCCTTTTCTGATACACAGCTGGTAAAAAAACTATTCTTCCATCCTGTGGGCTTTCTATTTATTGTGTTAGCTATGTCCTTTGCCATGCAGAAACTCTTCAGTTTAATGCAATCCCATTTATCCAGTCTTTCTTTAATTTGTTGTGATTCTGGATCTTTACTTAAGAGGTTCCAACCCATGCCTAAGAGCCCTAGTGTGTCCCCTATTCCTTTCTGTAATATTTTCATGATATCCAACCTTACATTGAGGGAAAGATGTAAAAGACCTCTGTTGTGAAAAATTTTTTGGATCTGCAAAAAGAAATTGATGCAGATTTGAGGAAATGGAATAACCTTCCCTCCTCCTGGATTAGAAGGATTTAACATTGTGAAAATTGCATTACTGCTTAAAGCAATTTACAAATTTATGCAATACCTATCAAAACCCCCACGTTCTTCAAAGAAATACAGAAAGCAATCCAAAATTTCATATGGAATACTAATAGAACCCAAATAGCAAAAACAATCATTAGCAGGAAGAACAGTGTTGGAGAATATCAATACCAAACTTCAAACTGTATTACAAAGCTATTGTAATATGAACAAAATGGTACTGGCACAAGAATAGGTCTGAAAACCTATGGAACAGAATTAAGAGACCCAGAAATGAACCAGCAGGCATATAGCCACCTAATACTTGATAAGGGAGCCAAAAACCCAGGGTGGAGGAAAGACAGCCTCTTCAATTAATGATGCTGACAAAATTGACTGTGCATGTGCAGAAAACTGAAGTTAGATCCTTATATATCACCCTGCACCAGCATGAATTCCAAGTGGATCAAAGACTTCAATGTAAGGCCAGAAACCATGAAAATAGTGTTGGGTGTTAATACTGTTCTTTATTAACTTCATACTGTATATACACATATGAGCTCTTCTGGATCATCCCGAGAAAGATTTCTTTTAGTTACAGAAAATATTGTTCCCTCCCCCATTTACTTTGCCCAAAGATACTCCTAGGATGACATGTTAAAGACTGATGAAAATTTTCCTGCCTGAGTAGCTACTGGGTACTTCATAGGCAAGAGACTAGGAATTTTTTTCTCTATATATAAAGGAAAAAGAAACAGCTATCATCAACCATTGAAAGATTCTCCTTGGAAACATAATGGGCCTGAGTCTAACTCTTAACTTCTTGAGGAGCCAGTTAGCTGCCTGCTGTGTGTTGGGTTTTACAACCAAGCAATATCCCCAAGGTCTCAGCTTCATATTTTTTAAGTGTAATTACCTAGAAAGATAGCAACTC